ACTAACGGGCGAGGTAGGACAGAAATATAAAAAGCCAAAAGAGCACCGGTAGACATGAAAGCCGGAAGACGTCAGTGGAATATTTGAAACAGTTTTTTTTAAGGATCGCAGAGTGTGTGCAATGGATGGATACAAACTCGGGCAGCTAGAAGAACTATTTGAGTTAGCTGCAAAACGTAGATTTTCAGTTTAAAAAAATGATATTTCAGAGAAAATGGAAACAAATATGAATATACTACGCTATAGCCAAAGATAATTTTCATTCGTGTTATTCTTGCTTAGACAGAATAGTGTGCACTTTTCAGAAGCTGATACGAGTTAGTTTTAGAATGATTTATTTCAGAGGAACTGTTCTATTGGGAGTTTGAAACAGTGGTGCTCGGTGCACTGTGACTCTGCACGTATGGAATGTTCAAACAAGCGAAATGCGCAAGCGCCCAAACGATGATCGCGTAAACGCTATAAATTCGGGAACCTGGAATTTTGTTTACATTTCATCTGAAATATAAAAATATAATTGTTTGGAACTATTTATTGTCCTAAAATCACGAATGTTGACATCAAAATGCCAGTTAAGATGCTGATTCACATTGTTTTTTTTTTTAAATTTATAATGCAAGATATAATTGTTTTCATTTCTATGCCATTGATGTGATTTGTGGCCATTCATGTGTTCAAACGTAAATATCAAAAGGAACTTTAACATTGCTAAGGGCTCGTTACACTGACACAGTAACAAGAATATATCCATTTGCGCCTAAAAAATACAAAACGTGCATGAACTGAATTGTGAATACAAATATTTTTTTCATTTCAGAGAAGGAAAGTTTTGGATAATATTTTGATGAATCTTACTAACTGGTTTATGAGGGCGAGGGATTCATTGTGTAGATGATTTGATTAGTATAACATTATACTTGGTACGGAAAATAACAAGTTAAACAAGTGGTGTTAGCGGGACCAGCACAATATAATAGTGACCTTAGGAATCTGTTTTTCAGTGTGTTCAAATAATAAAGGCTGACATTTTTGGACTAACGTTGTGTAATTGAAACACAAGACAAAAGTATTAGATGGATGACAAAAGAGGCTGTAGTTAATATGGGAAAATGATTTGCTTGAGCCATTGGTGAATTTATGGAATTGATTTTGCTGTGACAATGTATACATGGTGATGTCTTAAGTCTTTTCGTTATGTCATTTGAATCAAAAGAGGGGGGAAATAAAGTACTTGATCGGAAGGAATGATTATATTTGTTCTTTGGCAGTGAATGGCTTATTTGTACTTGACTGTGACCCACACAACACTCGATTGTAATGTGGCCAGTTGCTATTAGACATCACTAGCATGACTAGTTGGAAGACAACCATGTAATAATATTGTGAATAAAATAATTGTCTGTAATGAACAAGGAAATAATAACGTTTTTATGTTTTATTTAACCAACAATAAACAACAAGTTTACAAAAAAAAAATCAAGTAAGAATAAAGTAAAAAGTTTAACCAATAGAAGATACAGGTGATAGTTGAATTATCTCGCCTGGAAGAAAATAAAAAAAAAACAAGTAAGTGGTAAGGATTATATAATTGTAATGAATGATTTGTGTAAGGTGTTGCCTAGAGGAGTGTTCAACAGGAACAAAATTGTTGAAATAGATAATGCTTTGGAAATGATTGGACTTTCCATAATTAAATCTTGAGGCACATTGTAAATAACTAGTGAGAGGATGCTGAAAGCACTACCATGCATTCAAGCATCTTCTCAATGAAAATAAACACAGGTTATGCACATGATGAGGAGTGTCATGATTAAACCTGGTATGATGTGCATGAAACGACTCATGGTGTAAAAGCACATAAGTGCTGACGGAAGACCCAAATGATAAGTATCACCACCGACAACAATTTGGTAGTAGTCATATTACTGAAAATACTATATCTTGTTGTTTTCAATAAGTATGTGTGCAGCAACAATAAACTGTACAAAACCAGTAGTTAACTGTTTACAACAACTGTTTAACTGTTTATCATGCAAAGTTACAGGATGTTGTACAAATATACCCCCTTACTTTTAGGCTATTGTATGTTCATCCAACTGTCCATTCAGAATGAAGTAAAAATAAAGTAGGTGCAAAGAGACTATATTGAATGTAATTGTACTTCATAGGAATATCATTGATGATATCAATCCAATCAGACTGAATTTATCACAGGGCAATGGCAAAGTGCCATCTGACATATATGTTTGTAAAGAATACCATTATGAGGCCAATTAAAAACAATTTTGGTGTTTCCAGTATTAGGGTAACAAATATTGGGTAGTTAGGCAGGGCTTTTATTATTTTAGATTTATTTTTCACCCAATATGTTCAGTCTATATTAAATACAATCATTTGAAACAATTTGCATTTTACATGATAATATTACTATCAAATTTTGTTCATTTTAGAAAAAGGTAACTCATTTCTATAAAAATAAAGTGTGGCCTTAACAACAAATGACAACACATGTCATTGTTTAAGGTTGAGGTGAGTGACATAAACTGTTGATCGGTGGCACCATTTCAAAAATGGCAGCTAGCGACAAGTAAAATTTTCACTGATGTCCATGTGTATGTAGACATGAGCACAAGGAATTGGCCCATATCAGTTTCTGCCTAATAAACGACAGTTATGTACATTCCTGCTGTGGCCATTTACCTACAATAGCAACATCACAAGCATGATAAAAGCACTCTGATGTACACATTGCAGCTCTTGCTGTGTCAAGAATCCGCCTAAATCACAAGAAATAGTAGTGGGCCAAACAATAGTCACGAAGAAGTAAGAATGAATACAGCCAGCCATGCCAATGTGGTGAATGAAATGTAATTTCTTGCATGACTTTTTGCTCATTATTATACAGTGTGTGGTAGCCTATGCCAAATAATCAATGACATGGTCACAAATGGTCATGAAGATTAATCATGATCACATACTTTATAGACACTATAACATTACATTAATGGGCAAAGACTATAAATCATATCCATGCCCTAGACATGGCTACATCCGAGGTCATCATTTTGCCAATGCCATTCTTGCAATTTAATTATTGCAGGCTGCATAGACCAGACTATTAATGTACAAGTATATGTACACTTATCGGCCTTATTTTGGTTTTAGATGCTATTTTATTGAGATGCATCGTGACAACTGTGGCCGTGGAGGACCGGTAGGTTAGGTAATTGTCACTAGTCGCACCGTGCATGTGCACATCAATGTAAATGACGCTGCATTGCATAAGTACAGTCGACGTCACGATTTTTGCGTATCAATTTTTCTCGCTTTTTCAACAAATAATTCACTTGTTTCTACTGGGAAAACGTCGTCAATCTTATTTTATTAGCCTGAAATTTGTCTTGACAGCGCAAATTATACCTAAATAAGCATCTTTGGTTGATTTTTGGAACCCAAAATTGATTCTCGACTCAGTCCTAATTACGCGTTTAGGAATGACCTGGTGATCCTAAATTGACCTTGCATGAAAATAATGCCGCACTACAGCAATATATACAGTTAGCTTATTCACTTAAGGTTTTAGATTGGCAGCCCTGCATCACTGCACAATCTCAATAACTCACTGCTATGGTGACCATGGCAAACCAGTTTACATTTTCTCTCTGTAATAAGCATTATTTTGTTAAATTCAAAATGGCTAAATGGTGATCATATTGTTAAACGACTGTGCGTCTCTCTTTTTTTTCTCTTTACACAATTTTATTTCATTTGATTACAAACATTACAGTAAACATTAATTACATAATACAAAACGACAAAGACAAGCAAACAAGAGTAAAAAAATAAAACAAAAACAAAATAATTGCTAATACACTGAAATCAAAAAAATTTACACACTATCAGAGATAATAGACCACTTCCGTAAATGTAATTCCAATTTGTTTTTAGA